TAATAACTATGTACAAATTATAAATAATATAAATAAATAAATAAAAACCTCTTGTCCCTTTATATAGATGCTTATAATATTGAAGGAGCATCTATGATGTGGTTTTTCTCCTTTATAATATTGTTCTTTTTTGACTGCAAGCATCCTAATTTTTTTCTTTTTTTATCATTTAAATTTGAATTGTTTTATAATATTCTTTCCATCTTTCCGGGAGTTGCGAAATTAGTAGTAAAATGTTGAATTTGGTCATGCTTTTTACGCATGAATAATTCATTGTTATATATAAATAGCTTCACTCTTTTCATTTAATTTGATGATTATACTACAACACCCATTCCTTTATGGGAAAAAACTTGGCTTCTTAAAATTGAGGAGAAGGTCATCTTCAAAACAAATGGAATGCTCTTTCCTACCCCGGGGTTTTATCTCCCTTGTGATTTTCCCCGAGAAGGTTTTAATGAGCCCATCGTTAACATACTCATTCTTACCATGTAATGTTATCTTTGGGTTGAATGCAATACCATTTTCTCTCAAAAAAAGACAAGTAGAATGCTTTTGAATTCCTTTTTAAAACTGACGAGGAGCTTCTCTTCAAACAAAATGGGATTTTGACACTAGTCAAATTCCAAAACAAAGAAAGTTAAAAAAATTTCATAAAAAGTAAAAAGTAAAAATTAAATGAAATTGACTAGTGTCAAAATCCCAATTGTTTTGAGAAGGAGCTCCTCATCAGTTTTAAGGAGCCTAGCTTCTTCCTTTTTTTTTTTCTTTTGGAATTCGACAATTGTCAAAATTCAATTCGTTCTGAGGAGCAGCTCCTTCTTAGTTTTAAGGAGCCAAACTTTTTTCTTATTTTGTTCCATCTTACGTTCTTGATGTAACAGAAAATAAAATTATTTTTTGGTGAAACAGAAAATAGATTTTTTTGCGTTCTCGAATTTCATGCATGATGTGCATTGTGACAACGCGTTATTTGACTCAATATGTGTTTTTTATTAATGGTTTTTGCGTTCACTTGTCTTGTATTGCACAAAAGAGAATCCAAAAAATAATAATTAAAACTTTCCTTACCGATTGAAAAGAGAGAATTTTGTTTCCAATAAAGGATAATTGCACCTTGTAAAGTACAAAAGAGAATTTAATAATTATCTATTGAGGACTCCAATACACGCAAAGACTCATGACTCCTACTCTCCAAGTGAAACTCGTCGGTCAAAAGGATACTGCTTTCATTTCGAGAAGCATATAAAAACTAGAAAGCTAGGTTGTTAAATATTCTTGTTTAAGGGAGAATGGTTGATTTCTTTCTCCTGTTTTATTCTTGAGCTTATGCTTTTAAAATGTTTACAAATTTATAAATAAACCCAATCCTAGACATATATTTATAAAAAAATTCAAGCATTATTTAAACATAGAAACACACCCAAAATCAACCCCAAAATCAACAATTGTATATTTTTTTGGTGTGTTTATAAATGAGTTTTGAGTGTATGTAATGATGGATTTTGGGTGTGTTTATAAAGTGTTTTGGGTGTTGGGTGTTTTTATAATTTCAACTCCTATTTTGGGTGTTTTAGTGAAACTCCCTTTACTGTTTTGGTTTTAATTTACAATTCCATGCTTGATGTATTTTCTTATTTTTGAGTAAGGTATTTACAAGACCGGCACAAGGCTTGGGCCCGAGGACGACGGCCTAGGGCCTCATATCAAGAGGGCCCCTTCAGGATCATAAAGCAAAGCCTCAATACAAAAATCTGCATATTTAATTAGTTCCACCTGTTGAACATCCCACCAAAACATACATAAACCTCCACTGAGTCCACGCGGTTCCACCGCAAACAAAAATTTCATGCCTAATTGCCTCTTCAGATATTCATAGTGATGCCTCCTAGTTTTGGTTTCTAGAAGTACCACTAGATCGGGGGTGTGGAGCCAGACTTGCTCCTTCAAACTGGAAACTGTCAAGCCACCCCCAATGCCTTGACAGTTCCAAACGAATATTTTCATGGCGACCGTGGAGACAGGTTATCCCTATACATGGCGAAATAGACGGGAGAATGGTTTGATCCAAGAGAGACTTGATAGAGGTCTCGTCTCTGAACCTTGGCTTCGGAATTACCCAGAAGCTCGAGTGATGCATGTGGCCTTGGCGAGGTCGGACCATGCGACTCTTCTGCTTTCTACGAAACCTTCTACCACCCGTTGGCACCGTAGATTTGTTTATGATTCACAGTGGGGGCGTCAGGCCCGATGCAAAGATGTCGTATCAGAAAGATGGCAGAAGTATTTTCAAGGGTCCCGGGGGGACCAATTTATTGGGAAACTAGGCTGGGTGCGGACAGGTCTTGTCCAGTGGTGGAGACAAGAAGGACGCAACTCTTCCAATCATATTAGTTTTATTCGAAGGCAGCTGCAATCTGCCTACATCGACCAGGATTTTGATGGCTCTAGAGTGAGAGCTTTGGAACAGGACCTTAAGGATGCTCTTCGCGAGGAGTAGCTCTACTGGAAGCAAAAATCACGCATACAGTGGTTGAATTAAGGAGAAAAAAATACAAAATATTTCCACTCCAAAGTGATGGCTCGCTGTCATCAGAACCGTTTAACGGGCTTGGAGGATGCAATTGGTGTCTGGTATGAGAAGGAAACTGATATTCACGTTATTGCTGTCTCCTATTTTCAAGACTTGTTCACCACCAGTCAGCCATCACACATCAATGAAATAGTGGATTGTGTCAGCAAACGAATCATTGAGAGTGAGGGCTCCCTTTTGCTTAAGGCTGTAACACAGGAGGAGGTTTTCGACACTGTAAAGAGCTTGAGTCCCTCAGCCTCTCCAGGGCCTGCCGGATTCACATGGGCCTTTTTTCAACATCATTGGGCTGTGGTTGGTACTGATGTCTTTCGGGTAGTTCAGAGTTTCTTTCACTCTGGCAAGCTACCTAGACGGCTTAATCACACACTTATCACCCTTATCCCCAAAATTCCGAATCCCCGGAATATGAAGCAGTGGAGACCAATTTCTCTTTGTAATGTGATTTATAAAATTATCTCGAAAATTTTCACCAACCGTTTGAAAACTGTGTTGCCTCAGATTATTAGTCCTCACCAGTCAGCTTTTGTGGCAGAAAGGCAGATCACGGACAACATCTTAGTGGTGCACGAGATTCTTCACTCTCTACAAAGGAGTAAGCACTCAGACTAAAAGACCTTAGTGCTCAAGCTTGATATGACGAAAGCCTTTGACCGTGTTGAATGGCCTTTCCTGATTGCAATGATGAAGAAGCTCGGTTTCCCTTACCAATTCTGTTCATGGATTTTTGAATGCATCTCCATAGTTTCGTATAGTGTCCTAATTAATGGTGCTGCAGTTGGCAATGTTAAACCCTCGAGAGGATTGAGACAAGGGGACCCTTTATCTCCTTTTTTGTTTCTTATTTTTGCAGAAAGACTTACCTCTCTCATTAAAGCATTTGAAGAGAGGCAAGCTTTGCATGGGTTTCGGCTACGTGGGGATGGGATCAGCATTAGCCATCTTTTGTTTGCTGATGACTCCATCCTATTTTGCAGAGCAGATGAAAGGGAAGCACAGTGTGTTTTAAACATTTTACAGTGTTATGAAGCGGCCTCTGGCCAAAGTGTCAACTATGATAAGAGCTCTATTTTCTATAGTGAAAACTGCTCTTCTCGCCTTCGCTTACAGATGGAACAGATCCTGCAGGTTAAGGGCTGCAAAGAATTTGGTAAATATCTAAGCATTATGGCAGATTTTGGAACTTCTAAAAGGAAGGTATTTGAGGAGGTCCGTCGGAAGCTAGACGGAAAGCTCCATGGTTGGGCTGAACAATTCCTTTCTCTGGCGGGCAAAGAAGTTCTCATAAAAGCCGTTGCTATGGCCATGCCTTGTTATGCCATGTCATGCTTTAAATTATCGGTATCCTTGTGTAAAGAAATTAATTGAAGCTGCTATTGCTAGGTTTTGGTGGAAGTCTCATAAGGAGAAACACGGCATTCACTGGGTTAGTTGGGCAAAATTATCTCAACTCAAAAAGGCGGGAGGCTTGGGCTTTCGTGATATCCAATGCTTTAATCTTGCCTTACTTGCGAAGATTGGTTGGCGGATCCTTCATAATCCGAGCTCTCTGCTTGCCTGCTTGTTACATGATAAGTACTTTGTCGGGGCATCTTTCCTCTCTGCCGCCTCTCAAAAATCATCCTCTTGGGGATGGAAAGGCATTCTCCAAGGGCGTCGTCTTCTTGAGTCTGGGTTGCGTTGGCGTATTGGAGATGGCTCTAAAGTTCAGGTGAGAAATGACCCGTGGCTTCCCTCTCTATACACCTTTCGAACTCTCTCGCGACATCCTGACCTACCCTTGATGGTCCATGAACTCATTGACCCCCTTCTGAAAGCATGGAAACAGGATGTGATTAACAGATGCTTTGCTCCAAAAGAAGCCTCTTGCATCTTAAGCATACCAATCAGTAGGTGGGGATGTCCCGACAAGCTAATTTGGCACTTCAGCACGCATGGTCGATATATTGTTTGTTCAGGCTATGAGCTTGCCCTTCACCTACAGAGGAATGGTGAGTTGGGGCATCAAGGTGCTGGTGAAACCAGTGGCAGCTGCTCTCACAGTGCAGTTTGGAAGTCAATTTGGCATGTTGATGCTCCGCCCAAGCTCAAAGCCTTCATTTGGCATGGTTGCTCCAACATTCTCACTGTGAGGCATAATTTACGTCGGCGACGAGTGTCTTACCCTTAGAAGTGTGGTCTTTGTGGCCTCCAGGATGAAACTCAGGCTCATCTTTTTTTCAAGTGTGACTTTGCCCGTGCCTTCTGGTTTGTAAGCTCTCTCCAACTTGATGTGAACAAGTTAAAAGGTGAGGATTTTATCTCTACTTGGCGATATATGATGTTGATTTTCAAGTCCTCTGAGCATGCAGCTGAGGCAATCCAGTGGTTTGTTTTTGGGTTGTGGCGTATCTAGAAAGCCAGAAACATGGCAGTCTTTGAAGGTGTGAAGGCTGACCCCACGGAGGCTGTTCATCTTTTGCTCAATCAAGTCACGGAGTACCGTGCGGCTAAACCAGCAGTCCAGCCCCGACCTCACCTAGCCACCAACAACTCTGTGCCCCAAAATTGGTGTAAACCTCCGCCAGGTTTTCTCAAGGTGAATTGCGATGCTGCGTGGTCAGCTCCGACGTCGTGTGGGGGAGTTGGTTGGGTCATCCGGGACACTTTCGATTTGCTGCTTTGTGCTGGTGGGCAGGGGGACCTTCATGGCTCCTCCACTCTTATGATGGAGCTTCTTGCTATTCGTCATGCTCTTAGTGCATGTGTTCATTTCCATCTCACTGACTTAATAGTGGAGTCAGATACTCAGAAGGGAATCTTGATGCTTATTGGACAGATTGCAATAGACTCATATCTGAAGGGGATTATTTTTGATATCCAGCAGTTGGTGGCTTCTCTTTCTCGGGTCTCCTTTGTGTTTGCACCCAAGGCTTGTAACAAAGCTGCTCACACTGTGGCTGGTTTCGTTTCTAAACAGGGGGTAATCATGTTTGGGATCACCTTGGAATTGACTGGCTTTTCAATATTCTTACTTCTGATGTAAACCTTACAGTTCGTTATTAATAAAAAATTTCAGCGATTTCGACCAAAAAAAATCAAAATCACTTTGAATCCTTAGCAATACAATTAATAAATTGAATATTAAAATATTATTATTTTTGTTTTGGAACAAACATCCAAATAATCCAACACTCTCTTCAAAAAAATGTTTACTTCTTCTAGTTTGATGACTTTCTCAACAATTTGATGGTTTTTTATGTTTTATGATTCATGTTCTTCCATTATTTTAGTTTAATAGGATATCATAATTAAGCCAAAAAGAAAATACATTCATGTGCAGAATTTTTTTTCTTTCTTGATCAACTATGATTATATACAAAAGAAAAAGGGGTCATTTTAATATATGCCCTGTGCCACTCAAAAGTTAAAGCCGACCTTCATATAAGTTCTTTTGTTTGTTCAGGAAAAAAATAATTACATTAATAATGGGCCCGCTTAGATTAAAGTTAGTGATTGCCAACACAACGAGACGATCCAAATCCTAATCCATAATTAAGGCCCAACCCAAAACTTAACAGTGCAACAACCCAAGTGATGATATGACAAAATAACATTCAAGCATCATCCAGCATTATCAACCCAGCTCAATTTTTGTTGGCCCTTCCAATCAAAAGGAGACAAATAACTGAGAACAACCTGGTCCCCCCATAGCAAAACACCAACTCAAAGAACGAAAGAAAAAAAAGAGTGAGTTCATCAATGGCTGCTTCAACTGCGACTGCCCCAACTGACCGCATAGATGTGTTCTGGGACTCAGGCATGCTCAACCATAACTCAGGCAATGGAGTATTCGACACTGGAATGGATCCTGGGTTTCTGGACGTGTTAGAAAAGCACCCAGAGAACTCTGACAGAGTCAAAAACATGGTTTCTATTCTAAAGAGAGGCCCTATCTCTCCCTACATTTCTTGGCTCCCAGGAAGGCCTGCTCTACTCTCTGAATTGCTCTCTTTCCACTCTTCAGGTATTTGGATTCACTTTGAATCAATTTGCTTACTTTTTCAACTTCTGATTGCTCTGCTTCTTGAGTTGCTCGCTTTCCTCTCTCCTGCTACTTGGGTTCACTTTGGACTCGCAATCTTTTTGTAGGTTGGGGTTTGATTGCATAGTACTGGGATTTTGGAGGCTTTGAATTACGAATTCTTTCGGGCTTATCAAATTTTAATCATTTGATTGTTTAAATGCTTACATTTGTGATATATATGAGTTAGAAAAATTATGAAGAATATTGGTTTAGGTTAAATTAGAGTCTGATGTAGGTTCAAATATATGTTGTTGTCCCAGAGTACATAAATGAACTAGTTGAAGCAGATAGAGATGGGGGTAAGATGCTCTGTTCTGGGACTTTCTTGAATCCCGGATCATGGGATGCCTCGCTTCTTGCTGCCGGTACAACATTATCGGCAATGAAGCATGTGCTTGATGGACATGGGAAAATTGCTTATGCATTGGTTAGGCCTCCGGGTCACCATGCTCAGCCTACCCGAGCTGATGGCTACTGCTTCCTTAACAATGCCGGTCTTGCTGTTCAATTCGCTTTAAATTCTGGATGCGCAAAGGTTGCGGTCATAGACATCGATGTCCATTATGGAAATGGGACTGCTGAGGGATTCTATAGGTCTGATAAGGTTCTTACAATCTCCCTTCATATGAATCATGGTTCATGGGGTCCATCTCACCCACAGAATGGCTCTGTTGATGAGCTTGGTGAAGCGGAGGGGTTTGGTTATAATTTGAATATACCTCTACCAAATGGGACCGGGGACCGCGGATACAGGCATGCCATGACTGAGTTGGTTGTCCCTGCAATCCAAAAGTTTGAGCCTGAAATGATGGTTCTGGTCATTGGCCAAGATTCAAGTGCTGTAAGTTAAATCTTTCTGCATGACTTCAATTTAGATGATTTGTTTGATTTGTTTATTTATTGAGAAAAGTGTCTGCTTAACAAAACTGAAATCATCACCGTCTTTATGTAGAGACTTCCCATATTTTGAAAAGAGCTGTTTGTGTTTAGTACTAATAACTGTTGCCAATTTATTTTTTGGCATTACCCTTTGATAATATCCTTCTTCATAGTATGAACTTCAAGTTCTTCTCTAGCTACCTTCGAAGAAATCTAATTTTATTGCCAACAAAAACTAAAGTAGCTTATACATTAACACTGCTTGTTCTCAGTTTGATCCAAATGGAAGGCAGTGTTTGACAATGGAGGGTTATCAAGAGATTGGCAGGATTGTTCGTAGCCTGGCGGACCGACATTGCAGTGGACGTCTTCTGATTGTCCAAGAAGGTGGATATCATGTTACCTACTCAGCCTATTGTCTCCATGCCACACTTGAAGGTGTGCTCAACCTACCAACTTCTCTATTATCTGATCCCATTGCTTATTACCCAGAGGATGAGGCATTGGCCGTGGAAGTTATTAAATCCATTAAAAAGTTCCAGAAAGACAATGTACCATTCTTAAAAGGAGCTTAATTTGGAATTCATTTTAGTAAACCTCATTCTCTGTTTGTACTCTGTCTATGATATGAGATTGTCATTGCAACAAACAAGTCACACTTTATTATTATTTTAAAAAAATTTGATTGAGTATTGCTTATTGCATCAATGTTTCTGTATGAGCATCCCCAATTAGAGATGAAGGCCCTGTTATCTTGCAGAGTACACCTACATTCATACGCAATTTTTTTTTTTTTAAGTAAAAAAAGCATGGCTGGAGCAGAAGATAAAAGTTCACACTTCTGTTAATACTTAGGAGCTACCAAGAATTCTATAATGAGGGCCTTACATATGACCCTTAGGTGAGGCCCTATCTCTTAATCGTTGGATCAGATTAACCAATTTGATCCAACAGTTAAGAGATAGGGTTTCACCTGAGGGCCATATTAGACCCTCACTATAGAATGACGACATTCTATAATGAGAGTGTCATATATGGACTCCTCATGTGGACCTTTTTATTAACCACAGAATCATTTCATTAAATTTAAGTGAAGTTACTATTTAGATGAATCATGTAGATAATATGAAGATCTGCATCTATGACACCCTCATCATAGAATGACTCCTGTAGAGTGACTGAGTTACACTATACACTTCGAATTATCAAATCCTTTGGGCCCATTTGTTTAGGTGGATTTGGATTTGGGCATGTTTGGGTCCAGGTTTATAAAGTGGAAATGGATTTGAATGAAACTCACCGACAATTTGATAGTCAAAATGTTAGAATTTGAATGGACAAATAAAACTAGGAATTTGTCTGAATTTCAACCTCATTTATGTTTACTCTCTCTCCTACCCTACAATTTTCTCTCTGTTCTCTCTTCAAATTGTGGTGAAATTCTGTCTTGATACTTGTTAATCTCACATCTTTAAATTAAATTTGTGAAATGCACCTAAAAGTAGAAGATAAATGAGTCTGCTCCAGCAACAGTCGAGGGGCACGTTTGCATTTTAAAGTGGCACCTAATCTTCCAGGACTAGGATTTCTGCTTTTAGAATGAAAGCAAAACCAATGATATTTGTCGGCAGTATTTATTGGTTCATGTCCTATTCTGAACCGAAGGCTCCATTTTGGATGGGATGACTTCAAATTTAAAGATTTAAATTATATTACAGGGTTAAATTATAAAATTACGTTAGTATAATTTATGTACGTCAAGATTTGAATAAGAAAATGAAGAAAATAAATGAATTCTAAATGATTCCTCGTACATAGTCGTTTCAAATGTATTACATCTTGTCATTCAAATACATATAATTTAACATTTTGTAACAAATTTAGCATTGTGGTGAAATTCAAATCCGTTCTTTCAAACACCTCCATTCAAAAGAGGCTCCTGAAGGCAGATAGTAGACTTCTGAGACGTGTCTACTGATATTTTTGCCTTCCTTTTTTTTTTTTTTTTTGGACAAACTAAGAGTTAGTACAATAGGCGGGCCTCTAATGGGCGAGAGCGTCAAGTCGTGAGGCAGGTGTTTTTGTCTGCAAACGGAAACTGAATAGGTTAATGCAGATACTTACAAAACGCAAATCCCTTTCCACTCATTGTCACTTCTGTTCCTACCATGTGTACATATAGCCGAGCCATGTTCTGTTGTATTAATATTACATCCAAAAGTAACAAAGAAGGCACATCACTTTAGTGCTTTCGAGGCAAAATAAGTGAAGTGTACTGTTCTTTTGATATAGTGAACTAACTTAAAAACTCTGATTTCCGGCTCATACGATTTGAAAATTTCCAATTTTGACAACTCCAAATCAATTCCGACATCCGAAAATTCCGAAAAAAGTTGGACTAGAATTGGAATGTATCTCAAAATATCAAAAAATTTTGAATTCCGAAATATATTGGAATTTCAAGCTTAGATTTTATACAGTTTAATCTCATGTTGAGCTAAATATAATTTAATGACCAATATACATTGACAAGTTATTCCATAAAAGGGTAACAACATCCAAGTAATAGAGAATACAAGAGTTTTCAAGCGTTCAACATGATTGTGCATGTTTAAAATTTTGAACTAGTATTTTTCAAAGAATACTGAAATATATAAGTTCCGAGTTTTCCTAAGTGGAATGGATATTGAAATTCCTAAATTTTTTTGAACGAAATTGGAATAGGATTTTCATTCCAAATTTTTTTGAATTGGAATTGAAATCCCCTAATTCCTACTTGATCCGTCTAAAAATCAGGCCTAACTCTGGTAAATGTAGCCCTGGACTAAACCAAAATTTTGTCCTATATATTTTCATGCCATAACTTTTTTTTTTTTTTTTGAGTCACTACATTTTTTTCCTTTAATTTCTTTTTCATACGATCAATATGAGGAGAGGAGTGATTCGAACATATAGGACATATGCAAAAGTAACTACCCTTAGCCACTTAAATTACAAGTCTCTTACTTTTTATGTAAAAATAAACTTTGTTTCAAAATCTATTTTGCCCATTTTGGAACCTACAAATAAACCCTAAATTT